GCTCTGACAATATCTGGCACAACAATATCCTTTCCTTTGAGAACATCTTATTTCATATTAACTGTCCACGCGCCAATGAAAAGCTCTAATAAATCCATCTTATAGAATCAGAATCCTTTTTATTGTCGTGATGCAACGGCTTCCACACACGTAATGAAATCACAGGTGGAAGTTTCGGCTTTCAACAAAAAGACGAAACATCAACTTCGAAAGTGTAAAATATAGAAATATAAACATTCTTTAAAAAGGTGACATATGGATGTATGGAGTATATAGGAATGACTCAGAGACGATGACACTTGGGTTCCTCATTTAGCTCCTTATTTGGAGTTTTTTTTGTTTTTGAGTACGCTCCAGCATGTTAAAAAAAAGTCTTTACATAAAAATGTGAGCTCATTCAAACTGTCAGGATGGAAAATGCATCAAAACGCATAAAAATAAGTCCAGAGTCGAAAGCTAACGTTCCTTCTCAGCGCCTGCAATGCATCATGGGACCTGCAGCTTCTCACTGACCTAATCTCATCACCGAGCCAACGTCCTCTCTGACGAACAGACGAGGCGCGACGCTGCATTCAAAAACATCGAGTGAATAAAAGAGAAGGAAAAAAAACCCACTACTTTGAAAACGAGGGCAGCGTTTAATGGATGGACGTGTGCTGACGAAGCTGATTAAAGGTCATCCGGCTTCTAAAAACATCAGAGCCACGAGGTTAACGGACTCTAATGGATTGATCGGCCGCTCTCCTTTAACTACCAACCCGGATGAATCGGCTCCACAGCTAATCTATTCCCACCCGGATCAGCACCGGCGCGGGAGTTTATCACGCTGACACTCGGTCCGGCATTAGCAAAGAGCAGCCATTTGTTTCAGCCAATCAGGACGCGATAATAGTGAAACCAGGAACGCTGACGGATGCCTGAACAGCACCTCTGAGTTTTTAAAGTTCTCTTCTTTTCTGCTTCTTCTTCCTGAACTGTTTTCAGCTGCTTGGTTCACATCAAGATTTGCAGCACTTTGGAACCTAACGAAGATTTCTATAAAATGTATGTTTATATGTCAACATAAATAAATAAAAACAGTAATTAAATTGCAGTAATTAAAAATAAAAATAAAAAATACAATAGTAGTAGTAGTAATAATAATAGGAAGAAAGAAAATGATTGAGAAAAGGAGGAAAAAATATACATGTATATATGTAAAAATAAATAATAAAAATAAAATAGTAATAATAACAAAAAATGCAATAATAGTAGTATTAATAAGAAAAGGAAAAAAATGATAAAAAGGAGAAACCTTTTTATATATGTAGTCATAATTAATAAAAAATAGAAATAGTAATTAAATCATAGTAATAATAATTTAAAAACACAATAACAGTATTACTATAACTAATAGGAAGAAAATAAAAAAATATGTGTATATGTAAACAATAATAATAATAATAAAAAATGTAATTCAATCGTAGTAATACTATTTCTAAAAATGCTATAATAGTAGCAGTAATAATAATAGGAAGAAAAAAATATATAAAAAGGAGCAAAAAAAAGTTGCTATGTAAACATAAATAATGAATAAATAAAAATAGTAATTAAATCGTTGTAATAGTAATTTAAATAATACAATGATAGTAATAATAATAATAGGAAGAA